TTCTGGAGCACATGGACCACCTTCCTGCTCAGAGACTGCATCCTGGCGATCACAACTCTCCAGTTCAGACCTTAGTTTGTCCATACAGATGTTTCAGAACCTACAAAAGTTGTTTGCCTTGTTGGGAAATGAAGGAGTTTGAAATGGAAATTTTTACAGGAAAGTGTTCTCTATTTATCCCAGCCCCTGTTCATTCGTCTGTTACCACATACTGCTGCACCTTTAACTTTGCTTTGTGCCTCCTGTAAGCCCTGCTCTCACGAGGCATTTATCCCTTCTTTTAGAGTCAGCTTTGTATTCTGACTCATTCAGTATTGTGTTTGTGGTTAATTTTACGGGTCAAGGCAACTGGGTAACCTTGTGAAGATCAGAGCAGTACTTTTAAGTGACACAGTTAAGGTATGAATTTGCAAATACATTTAGGAATAGTGTTGGCAGTCATTTGTTCTTTACAGGGGTTTATTTGCTGTGAAAGATAGATAGCAAAAACTTTTTATGCGAACAAGTCAGTTCATCTGTGAAATAGCCCATTCATTTTCAGAAATTTAGTTTAAAAAAGGTGAATCTAAACTGCCCGGATTCATCAAGCTGTTCCCCAGAAGGTATCAGTCTAATCCAGAGTCCACTAGAGTCTATGAACGTCTTTTTGTTATACTGATTTGGTTTCCGGTAAAGGGCTGAGTTATGAAACATGGTGACACCTCTTGGTCATGCTGACTTGTATCTGTAGGATCTCCTCACTACTCAGGACCTCTCATTTTGTGGTTCAGTTGTAGTCTGCTAGAATAATTTTGACTTTCTTAGCAAGAGTTGTTGCTCATTGCAAAAAATTTCCGCTCACTCTCAAAGCTAGACAACTTAGCGAATTGAGACAATATGAGCAGCGTTGCCCAAAATGTTTACAGTGAACAAGGCCATACCACTATGTTTTTGGCAAACAGCTGCATTCTGAATACTTGGAGGATCTTTTCAATAACTATGGCTTCCTTTCCAGTAGTTCTCTCAGGTGCTTTTGGGCAGGCTGGTGTGGGCAGTACTGCTTTACACAAAAGCAAGATTTGCTACCAGACAGAGCAGCCTGCTCCATTCATGGGCCCAGCCTGCAGGACCTGGGTATGAGCTGGGAGTCATTCGTCAGCTATTTCTTACCATTGTGCAAGGCAGCACCTCTGATGTCTTGCTGAGGTTGGGACTTTACAACCCCACCACACACACACGTTGCCTTTTACTGCACTCTAAGTGCTAGCAAACTGAGGTTTTGTTGTAGTTTTTATTTAAAATTTGATTTTTTGTGCAAGCTGAATTCTGAAGCATTTAGTTTGGAGGTGGACAAGGACAACTGATAAATTAGATGATTGCACAGTGTGCTACAGCAAATGCAGAGAAAGAAGGAGTCCTTGGTAGCATTCAAGAGCTTGACTGTTTTTCTCAGTAGGTGTTTTTCCTGTTCACAGCAGGCCATTGACACTAGAAAATGCAGCAACAGCAACCTCAGTGGTGAAACTGCCGATATGACAATCAGAAGGAGATAAAGTGAAGTATTTGTTGGAGAGGCAGTACCAGGAAATGGCTGAGACATCACATGACACAGGATGTGCACTCTGTACCAGAGGGACGTATTTACTTACCGGCTAGACTTCTACCCAACTTGACCAAGGGCAGTTCTGGCTAGTTACTTGAATTAGCTGACCCACTTGCAGTAGGAAGTGATTATATAGATATAAAATACCTACCCTACCCTTGGTAGGCAGACAGACCTCTTGCCAAGATGGTGTAGCTCAGCTTCATGAGTATAAAATATTGTACCTTTTTAGTTAAACTGTCATTGCAAAGACATTAGGAGCTGTTGCTGTTCCAGTAACCTGTCCCACTTCTTGGCATTCAGATCATTGTGGAGAAAGCCTCTAGGATTTCCCTCTTACCACTGCTTGGAACTTAAATCATATGTAAAGAATAAGTCTGAAACTTTTCTAAGGTACAAATCACCTGCTTCCCCCACTGAGGACAAAAGCTCCCAAGCCCTTTGACAGTCAGAGAAGTTGCTTGTGATGGAGGATGCTGAGAGGAACCTACACAATGATTCATTTGAAGTGTTAAATAGAGACGCTAAGATGTTTTTTCCAGACTTGTGTTTTCTTGTAATGATAAGTGCAGCTACCTGAGCACACATAACATGCTCGATGATTAATTATTGTTAATTAATGGGTGGGTTTAGAATTTTAAGCAAGGTGCCTGAGATATTATCTATAAGTTAAGAGTTTTAACGATCATGTTGCTATAATGATCATTCTCAACTTTGAATTCTCTTCCATGTAAATAGATGAGATTTTACAAAAATGTATGGCCTGCACCAATATTGACTATTAGCATAACCCTGAAGATTTAAATAATCACCCAAATAAAATTCTGATCTTGCTTGCACCAGAAAACAGTTGGAGAAAGTCAATGAAAAGACAGCAGATTTATACTAATGCAGCTGAGAACAGAATCCAGTCCAGATCAGGTTTTAGAGCAAGAGGTCTTCCTTCAAAGTAAAATGATGGCTTTTTCTTGCGCTGTAGGAATAGACGATGGAGGAAAAGGAAGCAGAGAAAGACTGCATATAGAGGAGTTATGTCTTCTACTGTACAGATTTCCAATTTGATTTTGCTTATATTTTGGTTTGTGTGACTTCAGATACCAAAGATGATCATTTTTCTGTATCGGGACATACTGAGCATTGAGTGTGACTGCTATGGGCTGGAGCAGTTCGTTTAGCAAAATTGAAATGAAAGATTTATTTCATGGGGTAATTTTTCATTTTATGAATCTACAAGAAGATCTTGTAGAGCTTGTTTTCCTCTTCAAAACTAGTGACAATTTGCTGAAATAGACCCAGCCTATCTCTGAGCCAGGGGCTTAGGTATTGCTGTGGACCTTTCTGCACACCACATGCTTGCTGCCTGGGTTGGATGGGGTTAGGACAGAGCATAGCTAAGTTAAAAAGAATTTATGCTCTTTATTGTCCTGGATCGTTATTCATGTATGTACAGTGTTAAGGACAATGGACACTGCATCCTGAGACAGAACTGGATCCAAGTCTGTTAGGCGACTAATGGCTATACCTGGGTCTACAACTCTTGAGGTAGACTGGATAGGATGACTGAAAATGTTAAGCTTAGTGTGGGACTGTATCTAAACGCATTTGGGACCTCAGCTGGCTTCCTTTAGTGTCAGAGTAGTGATTAACACTGGTCGACTCCTACTGCTGTTTTGTGAAGTGGTTTTGGTAAGAATCCTTTTTCTCAACTAATTGTTGGGTCAAGCCCTCGGGTCGGCTCCTAGAAACATGGGAGTGAGAATTAGGAACTTTAAAATTCTACCCCTTCCTTTGGCACAGGTTCCCAAGTAGCCTTGGAAAAGGCAGTTAAGCTGCATGTGTCAGACTGGGCTCAGCAGGGGACTTTAATGCACTGAGGCAAAGATCCATAGAGGACATAGGCACCAAGCTCTGAGGCTGGAACTCAGAAACCTGCATTAGGATCCTACTTTGCCTGTACAATGAATTGGGAAAATTGGATACCTAGTAATGGGATTCACACGAGCAGTATTCTAAGCAGGGGAGTGAGTCAGTGAGCTGGAAAAATGCTAAAGAAAGGGATAAGTTGCTTTGCTTCAGCAGGTACCTCGGTCCTTTTCTTGGATCTGACCTTGAATACTGAAGTATTAGTAGTATGTACCAGGCAGCCTGAGTTTAGAATTCCACTGAGTTACCTCAGGGAAATGAAATCAAATTAAACTTTTTTTCATTTGACCCTATTATTAATGTACAAGGCTGAACACCAAACTGTACTGGAGGCCCAGTGTTGTATTGGAGGGAGCCGCACTTCCCTTGTTTCTATTCCATTTATGAATGCCCTTCATCAACTAATCACTATTTAGCACAATATTAAATTTAATCACTGAACTCCAGAACGTTGTAATGTGTCTACCTACTCCATGGTTCCATTTGGATGGAAATATTCTATCTTGTTTAAAGGCTATTAAAGCCCTGCTTTTCCTGTGCAGAACAAAAGGGTATTGTTTACTTTGTTTTTCATTATTTTTGTATTCAACAAAAGATGATTATTCTGTCTCCTCAGTGCAGAGTTCCCTGTGAACATGTAGACCTTCTCTCTACTTGCTTCTTTTCCCCCTGGGAGACTACAAAATAGAGAGATTTCCTTCACACAGAAGCTTACAGTTGAAATGCACAAAAGCAGATGTTATTTAGCTAAATCTTCAGGGTTTTCCTAATGAAAGTATTAATTAAAAAGTTGATGTGATGCATAATTGAATCAAGAAACAATGTTACAAGGCAGAGCAGCAGTACCAAGGACGATAACACACATTTATGATTAAGAATGAATCTTTCACAATATGAAAGCATTTGTTTCAATCAAAACCTTCTGACCTTTTAAGAGAGATGCAGCAAACCCACAAACATCTAGTTGTTTGGATCCCATTATTGCCATCACATTATAACCTAGGGAGAATAGCTTTTTGATGCCTACTACTCAGTAGCCTGTAGGCAGGACATCAGCGTTCTTGCTTTTTGAGAGCTAGCAGCCCATTCACAGTGGGTTGACTTTCAAAAGACCCATTTATTGAATGACGCAAGGTGCAAATTATGACTCACCCTGCATAGGTTAAGTTTGTAAAAATCAACCTATATTCATCTTCCTAGCACCTACACAGCTGCATAATGTGTTTATTATCTCCAGGGGCCCATTAACCCTTTTAGAGGCTTAAAAGTGATCTGTAATGCAACCTAGGCAAACTTAACATTCTTATCTAGTGAACTGATTTTTTTCCCCTTTCTCAGTGGTGACCAAATGATGAGGGTGGATTTTCTTCTGTCGGCCAGGATTAGGTCATAGAGTGGCCCAGCAATCTGGTTTTGAATATTTCCTCCTGTTCTGATAGCCTCATAAAAAACATGGGTTGGTGTTGTTTGCTGATATGTGTCGCTGTATTTCCAGGTCTTAACCAGATGAACCAGCTACTCTTGGATCTCTGAGTCCTCTAATGATCTTGCAGTGATACTGTAAGTAATCTTTGTTTATTATAAGCAGCTTTTTAAGCAGAAGTTTGGTACCAGTCCAACACATTTTATTAGTTTAAACTTTTCCTTGTAATACCAACTTATATCCCAAGCTACCTTTTAGGGTGGATTTAAAGGTGCTAGGAATAGTATTGCTGTGCTTGCACAGCCTTTAAAAGGGCAGAACTACCTCTTCCCTGTCTCCACCCCTCTCCTTCCCCATCTCCAGGAAGTTTGGAGATTCAGATGTGGTTCCTAAACCTTTGTCAATGAGGACGGTCTACTGCACTGCTGGAAATGGTATGCAGCCACTTGTTCCTGTATTTCAGCTCTCCTTCCTCTCAGGAAACCCAAATTTCAAGGGAAGGAAAACCCAAAATGTCCCTGTACATATGGTTACAAAAAAAGGTGGTTGCTTAAAGGTGGGGGAGAGGGTTACTTCACACGAAGGGCTTTGTTTCTCCATCTGTTCTTTGACTGTGCATGTTACAAATAACGACAGCTATTAAGGACTGCTATAGGGACGCATACAGAGATGATAAATGAAGCTCCTATTGCTTTGATCCTGTGTCTGTAGTCCTAACTTCCGCAGAATCTTCCTTGTTGGGTAGTGCGGCCAGACTAGAGGAGGGACTGTACCTTCTCTTATTGTTGTGGGTGACTGAGTACTGCAAAAAGAGCTTTTCTCCAATGCTGAATCAAACATTGAAATTAATTTACTTCCTCTCTGCTCGTACCTCTTGTGTGCCAGCTTTCTGCAAGCATGCTAACCTACTTGCAGAGATTCCTACAGAAAGGAAGTGGTAGAATTGCATGTGAGATTATTTCTACCAAATTAATGTGAAAAATGAACACTGGCCAGATACTTGCCTGTGCCTTTACTCAGGGAATAAGTATTAGCCTGTAGACTTTCATGACCCATCACTTCTCAACATCAAATGTGGGTTTCAGGATATATGTAGGGAGCAAATTTGAGCTGAGTATGAAGATGTATTTCCTGTTGTTTTAAAGTCCATAATAAAACTTATTGGATACTGCTGAATAGTTAGTATATTTAAAGGAAATTGTGATCTGCTCCTATTTAATCCTTGAAAGAAAAAGGCTTATGCATTCTCTCTAATAGTTTATTCTGTAAGACAGGACAATGGAGGCTTGATGCAAAACTCACTGGAATCGGTAGAAAGGCCCTCATTTTATGCCCTGGCTTTCTAGCCTAGACAAAAATCTGTTATGGCAGCTGCCACCTTTACTAACCCGCCAGGGTTCAGCCCAGGTCCCTCTAGGGCTGCAGCAGTAATGGCTCTTAAGTCTGGCTGAAGTAGAGTGGTGTTCCCTATGGATCAGGCACAGAGGTGGACCTGTAACACACACTCACCTGCATGTTACATCAGTAAGTCTAGTATGCGCTGTTCCAATTGTAGCTCTTGTAAATTAAACAGAGAAATAAGCTGCTCTTTTGCTTCTTGCCACAGCTGAAATATGATCCAAGGCTCAGGTAGATTCCAGCTGTGATCTCGCTCCTTAGTTATGAACATACATTTATGTTCTCAAGACGTTATAGCTCCTTCTACACAGGCAAAAATTGTAAAAACAGAATGAACAACGTTCTCTGTGTACAGTAGAGTTATTTAAAATGCCTGAGGGCTTGAACATAAGCAGACGCTGTGTTCGCATACAATATAAGCAAGACTTCTGGGTTTTGGCATTTATAATGACAATTAAAAATACAGCAGGCATGTTTCAGCAACTTTATGGGATACCGTAAACATCTAGAAAAGGATTCCAGACAAAAGTAGAGATTCACAGTGAAGATCCTTTTCTTTTTCTTGTTTCCCACCTTGGTTCTTAATATGATGTATTGTGACACACCACAAAACTAAGGAAACAAATGTATAGGGAGAAAGTATCTCACTGCCTGGAAGCTATTGTAAGATGGAAAATGCTTCTTAGGAAGAGTCAAAGTTTACAATCTGTATGGCTCTGTTTGGGTAATTGTTTTAGCTTCCTGCTCCTCCAACATACCTTGAGGAGAAAAAGCCCCAAACAAGTCTGGAAGGGGGGAAAAAACCCCTTGCCTCCTTCCTTGACACAGGGACAAACAGTAGGTTCAGGATCTCTCCTGGTCAGAATTTTTCTTAGCTATGTTTGCCCCAGAAGCTATACTACTACATGGTCAGTCAGCTATCTCCACTGTAGCCTCCTAACAGAATAGAGCATGCCATGGATCACAACCCTTTTTATTCCATATATTGTATATTTTTAAGCAACATAGTGTTTACAAATATATAACAAGAGGTACCTCCTATTGTGAATATGTTTTAGGCATTCTGCTAAAGTGAGAGGAAGAACCTGAATCTCAAGTTAAGGGTTTAATTACAAGGCTTTGCTTCCTCAGTACTTTTTTCCTGCCATTTGTAAACCTTAGACAAAGAGTAAGGAGCTGCAGATGGGTTCCTCAGCTCTGTGGGTTCTTTAAACCTTAATTTTTCCTTAGTCTTTTGGCAAAGTGCTTTGAAATATTGTTATGACACTGAGTGAAACTTCTTCCAGGATGGTCAACTCTTTTCTAGCCTTAAGAAGGGAGACAGCGTGTTTTCAGTACTTTTGCAACCCGTCTCTTCTCTTTGCAGTGCTTTAGCAAGGTGTTTTGTTCTGTGCGTGCATTCCCGCCGGGTAGCCATCAAGTGACCTGCCACAAGATGCTCAGCGAAAATGAATCCTGCTCCAGCTTTCCTAGCTTTGACACAGCTCCCCCCTTACCGTAGGCGTCATGCATGGCTCCGGATATATTTGTTCTGCCCGTCTCACTTCATTGTTCTGAAAAACATGTAAGTCTTGTATACCTTTTGAGATAAGTACGAGGAATTTACCCTCTGCCTATATGCAGGAGCCAGGGAACAGTTACTCTCTACTTTCTTGTCACTGGCCAGCCGGCATTGGGATTGCTTTTCAGGAGCCAGGGCTAAGTGAGAATCAGGTTCTTGGCACCCCAGATCCACCATGCAATGGCAACTGCGTTTCATCCCCTGTGCTCCTGGCCTGCCTGAATCAGGGCAGGAAGGAGTTGAGGAAACTGTCTGCTTTATCATCCCTAGAGCACAAACCACTCTGCCTGGCTTGGGAGAGGGACATCTGCCAGAAGAGAGGGAGATAAAAGGTATCTTAGGGTTACATTTGTTTCCTGTGGCTGTGCATTTGCTTTGTTTTAGTTTTCCTTTCCCCTCCCCCTTACCACAGTTCAAGACTACCACGTATGTAGCAGCTCTCTTTTTCCCCTTTACCTGTGTTTATTTCCTTCAGTTGGGCCATAATTTCACAATCTGAAGGATTCAGAGGCAATTCCATTTTCCCCTTCTACCTTGCTACTTTGTAGCTTCCTGTTCCTGACCTGGCCACAGTTGCCATGCCATGCTGGGAACCAAAGAACCGTTCTTTTTTTAGCAGGTTTGTTTTTTGCCTTGGATTCCTTCCCTGACTCGCTCAACAGTGCAGCCCAGGCAGCTCTGTCCACGCAGCATGGGGCATCAGGCACGTTCCCTAGGCCTCCTACGGAAGTCTTTATCTCTCTGAAATGGGGCCTTGGGCTGGATTTCAGTCCTCATGCAGGTGGTCAGCACTGGACAAAGCTCAAGTCCGTGTAAGAGCTATTTCAGGGGCTTAAGTGGGCATTAGATAGGGTCTAATTTTAACACTCATCCTCTGTGCAGGATAAATTTGACGTTAATTGTACTGAAACTGCTGTGGTGGCTAGTCTTTCTAGCTATGAGTGATCTTGTGTGCTTATTCCTTTGCAATAGCAGCTCTATGAGTTTTTCATTAATACAATCAACCTGAAACTCCCTTGATGAAATAAGGTGTGTAATTGCTGCTGTCACCAGAATCATAATGAGAAAAGCAGTTGCAGTACATCTCCAGAGTGCTATCTCTAACTTCTATGCCTCGCTGAATGTTGCAGCTATCTTCTGCTGTAGCGGAGAAGTGGAGCTGATCTGAACGGGGAACAGATTTCAATAATCTCTTCCACTTCTCCGGCAGTGCAGAATTGTTCACTACTTTTTATTCACTCCTGCTTTGCCCGGGCTAGCCATGACCGACCAAACTGGCTGTTTGGCAGAGTGTATCACAAGCCACTGCTCCTCAGCATCAGGAAATTTATCTTACTGCTCAAAACAATTCCTCACACTCCTTGACATTTACTCCTATGGGTATTTGCAGACTGTTATGTCTGCCCTTACTTGTTGTTTAACCTAGCTATAAGTATTAGCCCTGTCCTCATAAATCATTTCGCTTCAGCTCTGTAGCTAGGCTGACTGCCTGTGTTACTAAGTATGAAAAACCCAGGCTAAGCCTACCCTTTAAATGTCTGCTCCCAACAGTATTTTATTGGTGGCACAAAATCATTGCTCTGCATGAAATAATTCCTGGCTTACTGCATGTTCCTTTGCTGATTATACTGGCCTAAGGATCTATACCAGTGGTTCTCTAATTTTTTTTCTGTGTCCTCGCATATGCTCTTAGGACTTATTCCACCTCTTCCTCCAGCTTAAAAACCACTGGTTTAGGCTCCCCACCCCTTCCCCCAAGAGTACCTCTCTTGGGGGCAGCTGAGGCTTCAGTGAGTGACCAGCAAGTTCCCCACAGCCTCTGCTCCTGCTTCCTTCCTCCTTCACCCTTCACTCAAAGGCCTCTCCATGGCCCAAAACCAGTTTCCAGGGCCCACTAGAAGCTGGGCTCCTGCAGCATGTCTTCTAGGATCAGTATCTGGTGGGTACAGCTCCCTGGAGTGGGGTAAGGAAGAATAACTGTGGCTGGATTAAAACCTCCTCCAGCCCCAGCGCCCGACCCTCTGTGTTGGGAAGTGAGATTGCAAAGGCTCTCTGTGCCAGAGATCAACTACAGATCCTCTGCCAAGGCTCATCAGGTATGGCCGCCCCCGGGCTCCGGCGCCTTTGTGCCGAGGGGCTCTGCCCAGGGAGCAGTGGCTGCCCTGAGGCAGGAGCTGGTGGGCAGGGAGCCAGGCCACGTGCTCCCCAGCCATCACCTTCCCACAGTGGGAAAGCATGAGAATGCCTGCACTTTTGCCCCCTTTCGCCAGACCTCAGTGCTGAGATACTTTCTGTGCCCCTCGGAGGGGAACTGTCTGCACTTTGAGAGCAGCTCGTCTGTACAGAGTGCGTACGAATTTCAGGAGCTCCGTGGTGAGGCAGGAATTTGCAGCTGGTTCAGGCGTCTTTGAAGGAACCCAGATCTTAAAACAAATTAACTGCCACAAAATATCACCAGGAGTAATTCAGGAGAACCCTGAAAAATGTGCATTTGTACAGTTAATAAAGACACTTCAGTAACTGCAGCAAGTACTGAAAGTAATTAAAGAGTAGTGTAAGGCACAGGAACTCCTTCAGGGTGCAAACCAAGCTTTGACTGTTAGGGCCAAGGAAGAAACCTTCTATGTGGGCTGATTTGCCCAAAGCTGCCTATTGCAAACTTCCTTTTACCTTTTTGTGAGATATCTGGTAGTGGTCACAACCACAGATATGAGAGGGCACAGGAGATCTCCCATGTAATCCAACATAGGAGATCGTACTATCACATGCAAAGTAGAGTATTGTTCTCTTTCTAGCTTTTAAAAGTTTGGGAAATGCAAAATATCTTGAAAGCAAGCAGCAGGATGTGACAGAAGATATCAGATACTGATGTATTTCCTTTCCTAAAAAACTCAAAAGATTTAGTCGAGCCTCAAGTCTATCCTATGTTTCTTTCCTACTCACACATTCAATTTAACTTCCCCACTCTCCTCCCAGTTGTTTCTGTGTTAAATGAGGCTGATTATTACAGTATGTTTTGTTTCATAAGCCTCTCTTGTCTCAGAGCTGGCAGAGTCTTCCTTTTGTCTTGCAGCAGCAGAAGAGTCTGATTCTAACTTTGGGATGAGTGCTGTTCAAAAACTACTCTTGTTTCACCTCTGAGCTAAAGACCCATTCTTTAAAACTTTGAACATTTATGTTGAGTTTTCAGAAGGCTGGATTATCTTCAGACTTGAGCAAGAGGGTCTTACATGAGCCTGAGTTAAGTCTGGGAGGTTTAGTCTTGTGACTGTATTTAGTTATTCTGCCTGTCCATGCAGCTTAACTATGAAATGATTACACTTTCTCCTCTAAGTTAAAGGAGACTTTTATAACAAATTTAACACTCTCTACATTCTTTTGGTTTGTATGTGAGTGCACACATGAACTATTTTATTTTGTTGAATAACTCCCTTAGCCACATTTTTTTTTCTCTATTTGCATCTCTTCAAACATAGGGCAAGCACAGAAGAAGAATATTAAGTGTAACCAGAGAAAAGAAAAATCTAGCTCCTCCCTCAAATCTTCGCAGTCATAATTGTTTCTGCTACTTATTACAGGAAATATCGTATACCTACTTAAGCTATTGTAGAAATAGCCACTAATGTACAATCCCTTTTATTAGAATTTTTAAAACTGTGGCATCAGGTTCTGAAATTTGACTTTTTCAGTCCCAAAATGTGAAAAAAGAAGAAATGCAACAATCCACCCGGGAATGAGGGGCTTTCCTTTCTGCCTGGTTAGTAGTTTGGTAGAAGTTTTAACTATATAAACGCTGATTCAGCAGG